AAGAATGAAGATGTGGTCAAATCATCATCGACCAGGTCTAAAAGCAGCCTGGTTCTGAAGTGTGCATTGTTCACGAACGGCAGACAATCGGCGGAGTCTGATCTTGCGGAAAAGTTTTTAGGGAATGTTAATTGAATTAAGTCCTCTGATTTTCATAAGAGGATCTGTCGCCCTTGTATTTCGTTGTGATCATCGATTCACACCATTCAGTTAGAACCTGTTCCTTTTCCCACATTGACCCGAAGTCTTTTGTTAACTCTAAAACCAAGGCTACACGTCTATCCTTAGAAACCGATGGGGACAGCCCGTCGGGGCCGGAAGCCTTATAACTTTTGAGATAGCTTATTTCTCGGGTAACCTCTATTTCAGATGGACGACTGATGTCAACGAGCCGTGTTTGCACAGTTGAATGGGGTGTACGGAGGTCTTGTGCTGTCGAGGACCAGCTGAACTATGCCTTAAAATGTTCTGTCCATCGATCTAGACGGCGTTGTTGAATATGGATCAGTGTGCCGTCGGACTCCTTAATTAGCTCATTTACGCCTGCTTTTCTTGGACCTGTACTCCTAATTAATCGGAAAAGATTGTGACTATTACCGATAGCCGCAGCCTTCTCTATCTCTCTACACTTTCCTACCCACCACTTCTCGCGGTCATTTCTCAAACTCTTGATGAGCTGGCGTTTAAGGGATTTGCGCACTTTGTCGTAGTTTGAATNAAGATTGCGACTATTACCAATAGCCGCAGCCTTTTCCATCTCTCTACACTCTCCTACCCACCACTTCTCGCGGTCATTTCTCAAACTCTTGATGAGCTGGCGTTTAAGGGATTTGCGCACTTTGTCGTAGTTTGAATTCGAAGGAATGGCTTTGCCAGCGTCCAGCTGGGCAACCGAAGTCGGGGAGATCCATCGTTTTTTATTTGATCGTGAGTCAGAATTTGCTTTGGTTTCGATTGACATTTTGGTCGCTTCCTTGATTGCCGTCCAGTGCTCACTGAGTCCTCCGGCTGATGGTTTTGCTGAGAGGCTATCTTATAGTTTCTCTTCGAAGGCCGATTTGCAACCATTGCTGACATTGTATCTTGGGCATCCGTTGTCGGTAGCTTTTCTGCGTTTGTTTACTAGGCGTAGAGAGTATCTCGCTCGTAGCAGAACATTGTTCGTTTCTTCGGTTGTTGAGCGGTAGGAGCGGCAGTCTTCAATGGATGTTCGCCAGCGGTGGCTGATGGCGATGTGGTCGATTTGAGTCCAGCGCTGTGAAGCGGTTGGCGGTCTTCATGTAAGGCGTTGGCGTGTTTTGTGCGAGAAGTTCGTACTTGACAGAAACGGTCCGTGATCAGCACAAAGTTGGAGTAGGCATTCTCCGCTGTCATTCTTGTTGGCTGGAATTGCATGAGAAACTCCAGGTGGCCTCCCTAATTCGTCCAGGGATCCCATTTGAGCAATGAAGTCTCCAGCGACCACCACGAAGTCCGTTGACCGAGCACTTTGGAGCAGTTGAGAGAGGTCCTTGTAGAATTCATCCTTCACTTCTGGTGAACTGCAATCCGTCGGTGCGTAAGCGGATACGACGAATAAACATCGACGCTTCGTTCTGTAACTGTTGACTCGCACTCAACCATCCAGACGTTCTGCGCAAAGTTGGCTGTTAACCGGGATCCAATCGAGAAGTGAACGCTCGGCCTTGACACTTAGCTCAATCCCAAAACCAGCATCGTCTGGCACACGGAGAGTGAAGCTTGAGGATGAGGTTGAATCTGGAGAACACAAGGAGATGATTGAAGTAGGGTCTTGTATGCGTGTTTCGGAGATACAGCCTACATATAAATGGAAGGTTTCAAGGGTTCTAGCTACAGTATGCGGACATAAGAGCGGCTAAGTGGAAAGGAGATTTTGTTTTCAAAAACCTGATAGCCTCTGAGTGGATGGCCTCATTAGTTGAGTACTGAGTGATATCCGATGGGTGGCGCAAACAGGATGCATCTCTCAAGGTATGAGAGTGAGAAGAGGAAAAAGTCAGTTGAGAGACGGTTCTCCAAATGTGGACCTAAGACTTTTGGGCACGGTATATTTCGCTGTTGCCCACACCGACGAAGGAGTTTTTCTTTGGGAACCCTAGCCGTATCCTTCGACCTAAGTGTCGGACCCACAAGGCAATGGGGCGTAAATCCAACGCGGGAGCATGAACGAAGCAACCGTGTGGGAGCTTCTAGAAACTGTCACGCAAGACCTTTGAATTTTCGATTAACTCGGTTCAGCGTGTTGTTCGCTGGTGCGTTGATTATCGGTCCGCTTTTCGGGATCAGCCCTCAGCCTCTGTTCGCTGGTGCGTTGATTGTCGGTCCGCTTTTCGGGATCAGCCCTCAGCCTCATGCACCTAATGAGACAAGCGGAACGTGGACGGGACAGCACCTTATTGACTGGGGGCTGCCCATCTTGTGCGGGCGGCCGACGAGAGGAAGCCCCAGGTACCCCGCTCCTACGTCCATCTAGCGAGGATTTTTTCGACCGGTAAACTACCCCTCACCGTGTTTTTTTTACTGGAGTGACCTCTCTAGGGGCGGGTGTGGATAGAAGAAAGAAGCCATGAGGTGCCCAAGCAGCTGGCTTGTGAGACTGAGATTTGTTTGGCCTCTACCCGTTGACCTTTCAGGCATGATTGGATCTACGGCTGTGAAATGCTATCCTGTGTAGCTCGCAGGATCATTGAGGCACACAAACCATCACACCGCGCCAAGGTGCAGTCTCGTCGTGATGGTAACAGAGTGTAACCAACATCGTAACAACATTCTCTACTTCCCAGGTGTAAATCGCGTGCAAACCATAGTTATCCTAACAATCAAGCCGTTCTGTTTACCACCGGAGACACGAGAATAAGAAAGAGCATTACGTTGTCATTGGTTGAGGGTTATGTGATTTATCAAACCGATTTAGTTGCTTTCAGTTTATGTCATGTCGTTCGATCATTTTCGAGCAGATTGGGTTTTAAAATAATTTTCCCATTTATTTCCTTTATAGGGTATTCGGGTGATGTTTACGGACGGAACTCGATTTGTCTACCGACTAAGTGGAACTGGAAGTAGTGGTGCAACTTTGCGCGTTTATGTGGACACGTTTGAACAAGATCCGACAAAGCATGCACTTCTTTCCCAGGTGTGTTATTAGTATCTGGCATTGCTGTATTTCTGATCGCTGCAGGGTAATATGAATAAATATTACCCTTGGGGCAACTGCTGAGCTGCCAATTTATTGAATGATGAAACTATTGATCGTCACTGTCTGCTTATTATTAAAACACATCAAAGGTACTGCTGAATCAAATGGTTTCATTCACCTTCAGTTCGATAACGGAGAGTGAAAACCCAATGAACTGCTCAAGGTGCCAACGGTGTTAGAGTTGCATTCTACATTGTTAGGACCAAGCTGTTTGTGTTTTCACTGCTCCGCTGTCTAAACTCAACAGGAGGAGGAGTTTACGCACGACTAAAGATGACGTGTGCAAAGTTGTGAATCAAAGTAAATTACTTTAAATGTTATTAGGGTTGGTAGGATTTTGTCCTCACATTGGATGAAAGAACTAGTACTGGGTTTATCTTTTCTTCTTCCGCAAAACAGACAGCCTGACTGCGGCCGCCAAAGCCTAATGTTTTGAGACAATAACAACCCTTTCAGCTTTTTCTCAGTTAACCACATTTGTGCAAATCTTAGTTATGGTTGCAGTGGATATGGTTAATTGATTGTTTTTTAGGGATTGCAAATTGTGTATTTATGGTGGTCATTTTATTGAATTCATCTTTCTGAAAAATTTTCCACTTCAGGTTTATCTTCAACCACATATTGAATTGGCCCTGAAATTGTGTAATGTGGGCAAAATCACCGGACGTACCGCTCCTACTGTGATTACCTAAGCTAACCAACCCGATTAACGAATGATACCAATTTAAACTGCTCATGGCCTCCATCTCCATCCTCCTCCTTGGGTCGACGTGTGGCTAGCCTCTCCGTCATCCTCAACCGGAGACCGAATCTGTTTAGTGGAATCTAGTTTGCCAGTCTAGTCAACTTGCTGACGTATTCATTATTTTCTTTTTTCCCCTGTATTGTAGTAAATCCCTTCAAGAATTTTCATCTGCCACATCTGATTTGAAACTGATTTCAGCCACCGACACAGATCCCAAGCTTGTCGTTTATCCCCGAGCTTACTAGTGTTTTTCTCATTTCCCTTATTCTATTCACTTTTCTTTCTTGCTTTCACATTAAAATGTGACCAATTGTCAAATAGTCTGACAATAAATAACTTTTTGTTTCGGTCGACGAAAGGCACGGTTTTCTCCCTCTCATGTTTGTCTGCCTCATTCACTGCACCCCTCGAATAATTGTTGCCTTTTCATGTTTTCTATAGTGGATGATTGTTCACGATATAGGGGTATTCCATGTACGTCTGTGGATGGATTTTAGCACCAGCTTTCAACGCTCAGTCGGTTTAGGTGATATTGTACTTTGGTGCTTATGCCAGCCGGGACGAGCACTACCGATGTACAGTATCATGTGGTTCGATTTGTGTTGCTTTCCCCCTCCTCCGCCTCCCTCATAAAATATTGCAATTTTAGCTAACAAATTCATTAAATTTGCTCACCGCGAAAAACGTTGTTACATCCCTTTTGGCGCTTGTGTGTTCCTTGTAGACCGATAATCGATTTAGATTTGCGTGCGACTTTTTTCGTCGCTTGTTGTTTGTCTCGGTATAATTTATCCTCCCTTCATCTTTCTACGATATCTTGCAGGTTATGATGATGATCGTCAAATCTTCACTACTGATCAGATTTCAGCTGTGGTATATACTGGTTGAATTTAATCAGTTTGACAGAATCCATACAATAGAGTTCTGTTTATGTATTTGTATCGAATGCATGATTGTGATCTGTAATGTTGAAATGATCTTTGTTTTAGAATCTTTCCAATCATACTCGATGGTGAAAAATCAAGTGGATGTGAGACACTTCATATCATACATGGGAAAAATATTTACTTTATTCACGGAGTTCGAGTCTTGCCACACTTCTGGTGTGCACAAACTTTTTTTGTTGTTTGTTTTGTTGTTTTTCCAATGCATGCAATAGAATCGCGTATGCCATTGTAGGATAGCCCTTTTTTATCTGCAATTTTCCCGGGTTACATATACACGCCCACAGGGAACAAACGCAATCGGGTATAATTCTTCGTTCTAGGTCTACACAGGGAATCAACATGAACTGGTTTGAAATGTTTAATGACCATGGTCTTTAGTATCATAAACGTGTTAGTTCCATGGTGTGGTAATCAATAGGATTTCCTGTGAGTTATCTTTTGCCGTGCCGCTGGGCTCAGTGATACTTTTTGCTATTTTGGTTTTATGTGATAAGCATAACAGTGCGTAAATCAAACTCCATCGGTTCTGTATATTCTGATTACTTTACTGCCCATGCAGTACATGGTGATACTTTGTCTCTGTGATTATCTAGTTATGGAACTGCTGAGCCTGTTATTCTTTTCGGTACACTGAAATAGTCATAAAATGTTTCCTGGTAGATTGAACCGTTCAGTAACCATGTCGGTGTGTTCACCGTATCGTTTAGCTGTTGATCGAGGCAGTCTCATCGAATATGGTTAGCTAGAGTTGTGTGTTCCTGTGACTGAAAACACATGCCACATTACATTAGAGCTTACAATGTTTACAAATCTAGATCAGAGTTTTGCTGCTGCACGTCTACTCGACCACTGGTATTATGAAACACGGTGTGAACCGAGTTGCTCGTCTGTTATTTGATGTAGCTGGTCACATGCGTCTGTTGATATGAAACGAACTAGAGCCGCCGATATAACACACGACACCTGTTGTTTGTCACATCCTTCTTGCACTGTCTCATAGGGCTAATAGATTTTTATACTTCGTTTCAGCCGTCCTAATGTCGGAACAAAATCATTCAGACAACAAAGTTATCCCCATTCCTCAAAATGCGTCGCGAAGTTTGCGATTTGCCGCTGAAAATGACCCCAAAAATGTGGGAACCCGATCATTGTCCAGCTCCCCTTCCGACACCATGAACTGCCCCTCACGACCAATTCGTAAGGTCAGCTTCTCAGATGTGGTTGTTACTTCCAGTCGTATGGAAAAAGAGCCTTCAGTACAACCCACGGTAGCCGAATCCAGCTTTGAACATGTAACCCTGGTGACTCGTCGTTCGGAAAGCTCGGTTGACGGAATGGCACATCGCATTCAAGTTCGTCAGGTAGAATCGCATGACGAGGATGTGATGAAAGATTGCCCGTTGGTGACCAGTCAGCTGCCCATCTTCGAAGTCAAATTAGGTATGCTTAAACAAGCCACACTATATCGAATGGAATTTACCGTGCCCGACGCACTGCCTCCGGGTGAAGTTGAATTGTTGCGATTTACTATTGATGCCCCCGGTTGTTTGAGTGTCCCAGTCAACGTGGGGGCCACGATAGATCTACTTTCATGTGATGCTTTGGAGTCCGAACCCGGTAAGCCTCTTTCGAAACATGTCATGTTGTGCCACCGATTGTCCGTGGTATTTTTGCACTCTCACTATTTAGCTGCTCATCTGAGTGCATCTTTGCAGAACTTAATCACACAATTTAACAGATTTACTCGTCCCATTCTTAAGCCTGTAAAGTGCCCGTTTCGCACGCAATGTTAGATGTTCTCAAATCCAAGAGAGGTTCATGCTTGATGGTATACGATCACAGGGCTTCATCTTTTCTTATGTCTTAGCACCTAACCTTGTTAACCCGGAATTGAACTCTGGCACTTCAATCGTGACTGAGTTTAGGAAATCACGGGCTGGTTTACAGCATTTTGGTTTTTCTCTATTAAATATTGGTTTATTAGTCTAGTGCAAAAAGAGAGCTGAAGCATGTGGACTCCTGTTTCACTTTATTTGCCTCTGCTGTTTCTTATTCTTCTGAGGCACGCTTGTCTGATCCATCGTGCTTGGCTTCTACGTTTGAATTCATGGGTCAATCTGTCATGTAGAGCCGATGGTTAGGTTTTGTCATATTACATCTGGACGACAGGACATACGCGTATACTTGTTTGCGTTTATCGGGTTCAGTTCAGTAGCTTCCTAAGCAAGTTTACCGTGATGTGATCGGTCTCGTCAGTCTGTTGAATGAACGCTATAGTGGTCGTGGAGTCGTCGTTAAACTGAAACCCTTTGCTACACTTGTATACGCTAGCTTCCAAACCCTTTTTTCGCGCTTAACATCAAGGATAAAATCGTTCCGTTCAACACTTAGTCTTAGTTCAAAGCCGTCGATGATTTTAGCTTGGGGTAACTGTTTTCGACATGTTTGGGTATGTGGGTTTCTTTGCTAGAGTTCACTCTTGTTTTATGATTATTCTCTTCCATTTGCAGGGCATCGCTTGGTCCTGAAAGTCTCTACGACTCGACAGTCGCGAGTGAACGAGCTGTTCACTATGCGATTAGTTGAACGTCCGGAGCAAGCAGTGCATCTGATCTTGCATGGTTTGTCCTTAGGTATGTTTGTACTGTACTCATATTTCTTTGCACACACCGCTTCGTGCGATTCGTGCTGCTTCTGCTGAATCCACTACGTCTTGACATTTGTAAAGGCTGCGCGTCTAAATTTTGTTCTATCCTATGCAAATATTGTTTTCGTTTCGATCAACATGTTAGATCATTATAATGGATACTGAAAACTAATCACCGTTTTCACACTGTGTTCACGTCACCGTGACAGATAGTTTGATCTTTGCTGGTTAAAAGTAGTCTTTGTAGGCTTATTATAGCACCCCGTGAAATGCTTCAGATGATTTGGTTATAAAACCATAGCATTGTTCCTTTTATTTTGTAATTATGAACTTAATAAACATAGTCGCATACTGCCTCGAAAAGAACTGACCAATAACGTGATTTTCCTATGCCAAGTGTT